AAGTTCTCTGTCCTGTCTGACAATGACCCCTGTCAGATATCTAGGAAATTATATACGAATGAGAAAACAACATCATGACATTTCTGCACTATATTGTTTCATCCTCATCGTTTGCAATTCAGTTTCTCAGTCTTTAGGAATGGTACGACTCACGGCCCACCATCAGCTAAGTGTGCTCTACTCTATACTGCTTTCAGAGTGGAAAAAAAAAAAAAAAAAAAAAAAGAAAGTTAAAATAAAGCATCTCACCAAGTAGGTTAATGTTGCAAGTTCCTGGCCTGTAAAACAAACAGGAGGAAAAAAATAATTTAACATTTACTACATAGTGTCAGATGGAATATAAGCAACACTCAGATGTTCAAACAGGGAACTCTACCAAAGAAAAGCACGGTCACTAAGACTGTGATGTTACTTATTGACATGATTACTTATGCAAAACAAGAAAAAACCCTGTAAAGTGGCCTGGTAGAGCCATTATTTTATTTACCACCAAGGGTGCACAGTGAAGAAACCTACCATATTCTTTGAAACCAACACCCTCTCCTTGGGACATACAGATTTACAAATAGTGAAAATAAAAAAGCAATTAAAACAAAGAATGAAAATGGGATGACAAAACAAAAAAAGAAATGAAGAGATGAACGAAAAGTAAGTGGGTAACAACAATGGTAAAACACAAAACCCTCTCACAGATTCAGAAAAATTATAAATTTATTACTGAAAACAAATCCACATTATTTTCACGAAAATGTGTACTTTACAAAAATCCTTCCACCCTAGCTTTTGTTCCAAGTATAATATATATGTAAGAATAACCAAAAAATATTTTTAAATACTACAGACTGTACAAACACAGCTATTACATATAAATACCTTTGCCTGATTTCCTTTTTGCCCATGGAGACAACAAAGGAAAAGACAGAAAGTGCATGAGGGTCTTATTTTTTCACCTGCATCAAACAGATTAGAAAACTAAACTCTCCAAAATTATATTAATCTGGCATTTATTTCACTTGAAGCTCAACCTAAAGGTTTTTTCAAATTGAAGAAATACATAGTTATGCAAACTATGGTTATTTGGAAACCACACACAATTGAAAAGTACAGTTACTGAGGAGGCCAGAAACAGCACTTCAGCAGAAGTGAGGTCAAGGTCACCAAAACCTACATTATTTCCTGCATGGAATACTTTTTCTCTGAATTTCTAATGATAACAGTTACCAGGCTTACCTATGAAAAAACTGACATAGTCCTTCTTCATCTTATCTAATCCAATCTCCAAGAGCATTTGAATGGGAGTGATGCCACTGAGGGGAACGACCTCTATCTTTCCGTGGTAAGACTGTTCAATCAATTTACTCAGCAAACTGCTACTCCCTTGATGAATCTAAAAATTAGAAAAATTCTGTGTGGTAACTGTGCAGAAAACATCATAAACATTGATTAGAAGTACAATACCACAGAACAGAGGCAAACTGGGATATGTGAAAGTAATTTACAAACAATACAAGACAAGGAACAGTTAAGCGAGAAGAACTATATTCTACCTCACACAACTCAAAATTTTAACATTTATTGTGAAATACAAATACATACCCATGGCTGTATCTCACCACGTTCCAGGGATTTTATGACCAGTGTGAAACATTCTATCAACTCCTGATAGGAACTGACACCTAAAGAAAAAAGATGTAATATGTTATTTGTCAGTCCGGGTTCTCTCTCCAGCTGTTAAGTTAACACATATTTGCAAGAATGAAACCCCTCATTTAAAGAAAGACAGTAATAAATAATAATAATTTTTAAAAGTATTTTACTCAAGGACTGTGAGTGGTATTACAAGAATAAGGAAGTTTGTGTGCAGTTTTATTAACTTAAAAATGGTCCGTCAGATCTAGAAAGACAGATATTTTATAGGCAAGTGGCTTTTGGTTTTAGAGCAGATGAGTACTACCGATTGGTTAGTACCTTTTACAATCAAATAAAATCATCTCCTGTTGGTAACAATTATCTGAAGAGCTGGTCAGTCCTTCGAACTCAGAGAAATTTAGGTTCATTTCACTGAGAAAGCACTACAGTAGAGTAGATGCAGAGAAGAGAAGAATTAAAGGAAAACGGGGCAAAACCCCACAATAGACTCACTTCTCATTTTGCACCATAACTGTTCAGCAAAATCCAGGTCTCCTCGCTCACTGAAGACTGATTTTATTGAACCATCCACTGCAGCAGTGTCACATTCAATTTTCTGAAAGAGTTTGTTTGTCTTAAATAAAAAAAGATGCCCAAGATTCAAAGACCTTACGAATCCGAATTTTCTCCCAAGATCAAAATTGGGTACATCACTAATTCTTCCCTTTTTCCAGGGAAACTACCGCATAGAAGCTCCCAGTGCAAAGTAATTTGGAAGCATATTTTTATTTAAAAGTGAGACTAACTCTTTTCAGAATCATCCCACTGGATAATTGCCAGTAGTGAAGCCTACTATCAGAAAGACTTTTGATCATAGCCAAGTAAAGCTCAACCAAACAGTCCAGTAAAAACCAGCTGCTTCTCTCAAGATGGTCCTTTTTGCCTTAAAATGCACAAAGCAATGGTAAACAGCAAAACCACTAATTTAGCAAAACAGCAAGCACTAATTTAGAATATGACCTACACTATACTGAGCCCAGAGATGATTAAAACACTGCATGTATATCCAGCAGTGCCCTGGGAGGCCAAAATTAGTACCTACATAGATTCTCAGAACAGAGAACTATTTTTCCTGTTATCCTGAATATCTCTGGTTTAGCTGATACAGAAATCATTCTATTTTTAGCTTATCAACAAAATGCAACTTCCCTCTCAATAGCAAAAAGACCCAAATCTTTCCTTACAGGCTGCAAGGGAAAAAAAAATACCTTAATATAACTCAAGACATTTTTATAATTTTAATTGGTTCATTGCTTTAGAACATCATAAACCTCTAGATAAAAAGGATAGATATCCAATTGATACTATTAAATTGGCCCAAAGTCATAAAATTAGGCAAGAAAAGCAAATTAATGATAGAATGTAATGGTGCAAAGGTCAGAGTTCAGAGATCATGAGACTGAGAGCTTTAGGAGATGACAGACAATGGTTAAGACAAGGGACTGCAATTGCAGTTGATATAATACAGTTCAGTTTGCAAGCTTTTTCTACTGAAAAAGGAAGGCAATGAAGCAAATCAAAATAGCTCCACACCACTAATTTATAAAAAAAATAAGTATAATTTAGAATAAGAAAAAGAGGTTTTCTGAAGGTAAAAATAACAGTGGACTTCAATATATTAGAGGACAGCTATGGAGTTCTTAATTTTGCCCTTAACGCCTTCGTCCATTATTTTTTACACAGCAGAAACTGAAAGAAAGAGATCGATCTTTACATCTTTATGCCTATGTATTTACATATGTACATAAATACAATAAAAGATGCAGTCAAAATTTGAAATAACTAGAGTTATAAGGGGAAGAAAATAAGGCAACTGGTAAGAAATTGCATATACCTCTGTTTCGTTCTTGTTTTCAGATGTACAAAATCTATCCAGCTTGTTCTTTAAGTCTAGTGGACAAAAAAAATAAATTTTACCACTGTGAAAAAAAAAAATAATCATCAAACCAATCATATAAATCCATGGGCACCTCATAATTAACAAATACACCAACAGGATGGCTTACAGACAAAATTTATCCATTTTAAAATTGAGTGGGGTAAAGATATAGTCTGAAAAGATGACGTCTTAATTTTTTTTTATTATAAGCTACAGATTTTTGCCATATACCTTTACTACATTCTGTTATCTAAATATTAACTTGTGAAGTTGCAGTGTGGAAGCAGTAAGGGGGAGGAGGAGGTCTAATAAGTGTCTCTGGTTTTCTTCCACATGTATTTATCAGAAAGAGTTTTTGTCTCTTATCTTTTGTCCAAGTTTTACCTACATA